TCAGGGGTAGAACGAGGTGACGCGGCACGTCCAGGCCTCACCTGGTGCTCATCACACCCGGTGCATGCCTTCCTTCCCATCACCTGCTTCAGCCATCCCCCACTCAACTCCCCATTTCCTTTTTTTTTTTCCCCTGAAATGAGATAAGGGTGTGGGCCCATTTTCTATTTTCTTTTTTTTTTTTTAAGATTTTATTTATTTATTCATAGAGACACAGAGAGAAAGAGAGGCAGAGACACAGGCAGCGGGAGAAGCAGGCTCCAGGCAGAGAGCCCGATGTGGGACTCGATCCCAAGGTCTCCAGGATCAGGCCCTGGGCTGCAGGCGGCACTAAACTGCTGCGCCAACGGGGCTGCCCCCCATTTTCTATTTTCAATTGGATTTGAAAATAGCATGTGTACAGCCTAATGGATTTTACCTACGTCTCTCCCATGTAACTACCAACCGATCGAGACACGGATTATTTGTGGCCCCCAGAAGGCTCCCTAATTCTCCATCCCCGTCACTACTCGGTGCATCAGTAGTGGCTGCTATCCAAAATTCATAATAAATGACCACAAACTCAGCAGCTTAAAACAACACGCAGTGTTGCCTAGGACGGCTGTGAGGGTGAGCAGTCTGGGGAGCTTGACTGGCCTCTGCTTAGGGTCTCACAAGGCCAAGCTGAGGCTCCTGGGGAGTCCACTTCTAGGCTCATTCATGGTTTTGGCAGAATTCATTTCCTTCTCGTACTTTCTACGGAGATCCAAATCCTTCTCACACTCTGAATCTGTCCAACCTCCTGGTACTCCCAGCCAGAGAAACTCCGCTGTCTCTAAGGGCTTATGTGATCAGAGCTGCCCTGTCTCTCTCTCAGGGTCAACTGATAAGTAGCTTCCATTACATCTGCCAAGGCCCTCTTGCCATGTAACATAGCCTCGTCATCTCTTCCAGAGATCAAGGTGGGACGCCTGAGGGAGGACCATTGTTCTGCCTGCCACATCCCTATTCTGGTGTCCATCCCCATAGATGAGTCTTGCCTGCCCTTAAAATTCATCCAGATGGGGCCCTTGGGTGGCTCACGGTTGAGCGTATGCCTCAGGCTCAGGGCGTGATCCTGGGGTCCCGGAATCAAGTCCCACATCGGGCTCCCCGCAGGGAGCTTGCTTCTCCCTCTGCCTGTGTCTCTGCATCTCTCATGAATAAATAAATAAAATCTTAAAAAAAAGAAAAAGAAAGAAAATCCAGGAAGAAACTGTGTAATTTCCACTGATCTATTTGCTTAGCCTTGGGCTGGTGCCATCACTCCTTGGCAGTAGAGGTGCACTGAAATGCAGTGGGGAGGAGGATCTTTTCAACCAATGGTGATGATCCATTGGCTACCCATATGGGGAAAAAATGAATCTCAATGCTTTCCTCACATCATACCTAAAGGATTACAGACTTCAGTGATAAAGTAAAACAATAAAACTTACAGGAAAAAATCCTCATAGGCTACGTTCATGATCTCGGGAATGCAAATATTATATACAATATAAACACCACAGATAATAACAGAAAAATGTTATAACTTGGACTTGACTAACATTAAGAACTCCTGCACATTAAAAAATACTGGCAAGAGTACACCCAATTTCATAGCAGCATTGTTCACAGTAGCCAAAAAGTGGAAGAAATTTATGTATCTATCAATGGATGGATAAACACAATGTGGTACCTACATACAATATTGTCCAGCCTTCAGGCAGAATGAAATCCACTGCTGCAGCATGGATGAATCTTGAAGACATTATGCTCAGTAAAATTAGCCATTTACAAAGGACAAATATCACAGGATTCCACTCATAGTAGGTACCAGATACACAGAGGTAGAGAGAGTAGGATGGGGTGCCAGGGGCTGAGGGGTGGGGGGATGGGGTGTTGGTGTTCAATCAACACAGAGTTTCAGTTTTGCAAGGTGGAAAAGTTCTGGAGATGGGTGATGGCGATGGTTGCAAGACATTATGAATGCACCTAACGTATTTAATGCACCCTTAAACATGGCCAAGATGGTAAGTTTCATGTTATGTATATCTTACAACTGAAAAACTAAATTTAAAAAATTTACACACCCACATACACAGCCCAGTAATCGAGGAAAAGTCAAGACACAACATGAGAGAAGGTATTTGTGGATAAATATACCTAACAAAAGATTTTTCTGTATTGAATATAAGGAACTCCTATAAATCAACAAGAAAGGTAAAACATAAAGGGAGAGCCAGCTGGTCAATAAAGTACGTGCCTATGTCCTCAACACCACTGCTAGTCAAAGAAATGGATATTAAAGTCAACGATCACAGAGATACCACTACATGCTCAGCAAAATATTACAAATGTAAAAAGGGATCATCTCGAGAGATGACAAGGGTGTGAAGCACCTGGAATACTAACTCATTATCGACGGGAAAGACCATTGGCACCATCACTTTGGAAAATTGTTCAGACATATTAATAAAAGTAAACATGCACGTAGCCTGAACCAGCAAGGTTTCTACTGAATAGATACCTAAATAAATAGGTCTACCAAGGCACATGTCAACAAGGATGTGCATGACAGCCTTATCTACAACAGCCCCAAACGTGTCCATTAGAATGGATAAAGGCATGGTGATGTATTCATATAATGGAATAATAATCACCGAGGTGAAAAATAATGAACTTTAGCTACATGCCACCTCGCAGATGTACCTCTGAGTAGGAAAGACTGGATGCTGTATGATTCATGTGGATGACTTTTTTTTTTTTTTTTTATGATAGTCACAGAGAGAGAGAGAGAGAGAGAGAGGCAGAGACACAGGCAGAGGGAGAAGCAGGCTCCATGCACCGGGAGCCCGACGTGGGACTCGATCCTGGGTCTCCAGGATCATGCCCTGGGCCAAAGGCAGGCGCCAAACCGCTGCGCCACCCAGGGATCCCTGTGGATGACTTTTTAAAGATTTTATTTATTTATTCATGAGAGACACAGAGAGAGAGAGAGACAGAGACACAGGCAGAGGGAGAAGCAGGCTCCTCGCGGAGAGCCCGATGCAGGACTCAAACCCGGGATCCTGGGATCACACCCTGAGCTGAAAGCAGACCCTCAACTGCTGAGCCACCCAGGCACCCCTCTTCCTGGATTTTCTGTTTTGTTCTTTTGGTCTATTTGTCTAGCCTTGTGCAATACCCCACTGTTGCTTCACAACAAACTGTGATGACGGAATTGCAAGTCTTCCAGCTCGTCCTTTTTTCAAGATGATCTTTATTGTTCTAGGGCCTTTGCATTTCCATGTAAATTTTAGAGTTAGCTTGTCCAGTTCAACAAAACACCTGCTGGGATTTTTTTAGGATTGCATTAAATCTATAGATCAGTTTGGTTGTTTTTTTTTTTTTAAATGTACTTGTCTATTTGGAAGAAAGAGAGAACGTGTGTGGGAGTGGGGAGAGGGGCAGAGGGAGAGAATCTTCACGCAGACTCCTCGATGAGCATGGAGTCCAACGTGGGGCTCAGTCTCACGGCCCATGAGATCACGATCTGAGCTGAAACCAAGACTTGGACACTTAACAGGCTGAGCCACACAGGCGCCCCTGAATCTACAGATCAACCTAGAAAGAATGAACTTCTTAACAATATTGACTATTTAAATCCTGGTATCTCCCCATTTATTTAGGTGTTTCGTTTAATTCAGCAGTGCTTTGTGATTTCAGTGTTGAGGTCGCAACATTTGCGCTGCCTATCTCCTTAGGTATCTGGTGCGTTCAGATGTTATTGTAAATTGTCTACTTCATCCATTATTGTTTATTTCTTAGTATAAAGAGTTGCAACTGCTTTCTGCATACTGACCTTATATCCAGTAACTTTACTCGATTCATTATTAATTTTCCTGGTTTACCTGTTCGTTCTTTTGGAGTTTCTACATATATATCTATATCATGTTGTGATATGCTGATGGGCTATTATATCATATCATGTCATATCATCTGCAAAGAGTGAAAATTTTTGCCACAGCTGGAAACTCACTCCTGGGCTATCCACTGCTCTTATCTAGAGGTGATCTGTGTATTTTCAGCTCACATTTCCTTGGCCCGGAACAATCATATGGTCCATTCAGCTGTGGGGGGCCAAGCCATATAGAGCAGATGAAGTATTTATTGAACATTGCTATTATTAGGATGAGGACTTCAGGGTGCTGAGAGAGAAGAACTGTCAACCTAGGATTTGATATTCTGTGAAAACATCTTTTCAAAATGAGGACTTCAGGAAAACAAAACCGGACTCTTCCCAAAGGCCTGGGTGGCTCTGTCAGTTGAGCATCTGACTCTTGATTACAACTCAGGTCATGATCTCCAGGTCAGAGAATCGAGCACTCGCATCAGGCTCCACACTCATTGGGGAGTCGGCTAGAGATTCTCTCTCTCTCCCTCTGCCCCTCTCATGACTTGCATGCTCTCTCTCTCTCTCAAATAAATACATAAACAAATCTTTAAAAAAAAACGGACTCTTCCCACAGCCCCTCACAGTGATTCATCACCGGTGACGGGATCCGCCACAAAGCAAGCAGGAAACTAGAGAGAGGCTGTTGGCCATCCCTCCCACCCCCAGAAGCCAGACCAAATCTCCAACCGAAGTGTGTTCATGCAGGGAACTCCCCCAAATAGAGGCAGACCCAATGGTGGGACAAAGCACAGCAGATTTGGAGATTTCCTTTTTTCTTAATTCCTAAGGATGAGAAAGGCAAGTGAATGAGACCAGAGCAGGGCTTTTTTGTTTGTTTGTGGAGATATTTTGTGTTGAGATATTTTGTGTTTTGTTTTCTTGTCTTGAGCAGGACAGAGTTCTCTGATATCTCTAAGAGAGAGTGGCGACTGCCCTGTGGAGAAAGGAAGGGGGAGAGAGAGAAGGAAATGGGGGGCGGGGGGACAGGGTGGAGGAAAGGAAACTGAAACTGACCCTGGTAGATATTTGCATAACTTTTGGCCACTGAGCACTGGAACCACACCCTCACTTCTCAGCCTCCCCAGAAGCCAGAGTGGAGACGGGTGCTCTACGCTGGGTTGGAATTGCAAGCTGGTTTGGAGCTGGATGCAGTAACCCATGAGTCTTGATCACCTTGTGAAAAGAGGGAATTTATAGGGCACCTGGATGGCTCAGTTGGTTGAGCACTTGCCTTGGGCTCAGGTCATGATCCCGGGACCCTGGGATTAAGCCCCGAATTGAGCTCCCTGCTCAGCGGTGAGTCACTTCTCCCTCTGCTGCTCTCCCCGCCTGTGTTCTCTCTCTCTCTCTTTGTCAAATAAATAAGATCTTTAAAAGAAAAGAGAAAATCTTTGTATGAAGGATAAAAGCAGCATATAAAAGAAAAGCATCTAACATTTTTCCTGTGAATTTGTTTACTTAAAGGTGTGTGTGTGTGTGTGTGTTTTGTGTTGACACTGGGCAGCCAAAGGATTTGGCCATAGTGGACATTTGTTATTCTTTTTGCCTCTTAGACACTTTGCCTCTATTTGGGGGAGTTCCCTGCGTGAACACACTCCGGTTGGAGAGATTGCCTCACACCGCAGACCTCAGACACTCTTTCCCAGCCTCTCTTCATGCAGAGTCCACCAAACTGATGCACCGGCGCTAGACTTCTGATTGTAAGATCCATCCAGAAGGCGTTCTGAGGATAACAGCACCAGCTCCACTGGGCATCCAGAGCCACCAGCAAGTAAGATCCCAGCACGGTGTGAGGGCCTTCTGGCCAGCCCACTCCTCAGGTGATCCTGGGACTGTTGTCCTGGGTACTGGGGGTCTCCTGATTGATGTCCTTCTCTTTAGTCCTGAGATGGCTCATATTCTTCTCTACGTTGCTTTCCTGATTAAACTGGGTGGCGTCCACTGAAGTTGTTAGCAGCCAGGAATGAAATGTGCTACAAACGTATTCTTCAGAAACTCATTTGTCGTTGAACTTGACTAGTGCTAAAAATCTGACATAGTCAAGTATTTTCCTTCCAGGTACCTAGAGCTCATGCCATGCTAGGAATGGCCTTTATGAATCCAACATTATGAAAAATATTCTTCGGATGTTTTACGCTTTTATGTCTTATGTGAAAGTGTGATTTTGCTGTTGGTTTCAGATATATTTAGTGATAGTTATTCCTTGTTTTTCCAGCTTAATACAAGATTTTTTTTTAAGATTTTAATTTATTTATTTGACAGAGAGAGAGCATAAGCAGGGGAGTGGCAGGTGAAGGCAGAGGGAGAAGCAGGCTCCCCACGGAGCAGGGAGTCCGATGTGGGGCTCGATCCCAGGACCCTGAGATCATGACCTGAGCCCAAGGCAGACGCCTAACCACTGAGCCACCCAAGCGCCCTGAATATGAGTTTTTATTTAGATTTTATTAAATGACTTTAAATATTTGTTCTATGGAGGCTCATGGCAAGGGGGTAGGCCCCATGTGGGAGGAAAGGAGGGCAAGGGGACCCCCAGGGGGTGGGGTGGGGGGGCATCTGCAGCTGCTTGGGGGTCTTATAGCAGCAAGGTCCCGTGTTGCCAATAGATCACAGCTGTTTGGCAAGGCTTCACAGGGCATACGAGGTAGGCAGGCCCTAAATGGTGAAAAATCTGCTTGTCTGGGCTATTTTAAAAATCACTGGATGTGTAAAAATTCGAGTTTGCTGCCAGTGGGCTTTGGAGCTAACAGATCTCAGCCTGTGGTGGAGAAATAAACAAGCCGGGGCCAACAGAGGCCGAGTCCTGCCCGTTTATGCAGTGGGAGCTTAGGGACAGCCCAGGCCTGAGAGTCAGTAGATGAAGGAGTAAAGCTGCTCCTTACTTTGCCAGGCGCAGTCTTGCAGAGAGAGAGGCCCTCTGCCCGAGGAGGAGGAGAGGCCAGGGAAACTGGCCGGTCCCAGGGTAGTGACGGAGAGCTGACAGTGATGATGGAGGAGGATGTGCCACGTGGATTCCACATCTGGGGACACGTGGCAGCCCAGTGCCCCACGCAGGGCACACTCCTTCCGTGGAAGCCCCCAGACGCCCCCCTGTGTCACTTTCTTTTTAATTTATCGGCATTCTTTATATTTTCTGGATATGGGCCTTTTGTTGATCGGGATACTGTGCAGTAATAAACACAGAGGTGGAGGCAGGAAATAGGGTGAGGCCGACTGGGCCTGGAGCCATGGGAAAGAGCTGGAACTTGGACTTGAGAACCACAGGACTAGAGTGTGGTCTCGCGCCGGCAGCCTCAGCGCTCCCTGGGACTTTGGTTAGAAAGGCAGAGCTCCATGCCCTGTCTGAGATGAGGGAAACTGAGTCATGGGGACGTGGGTACATGCTCAAGCCTGGGAAGTGCTGGTGGACGGAGCCTCGGGATCCATCCACGTCCCGGTTCTGCTCCAGGGTAAATACACTCATTCCTTTGAGGTGTTCACATAACAGGGGTTTGTGTGTGTGTGTGTGTTTTCCTGTGTGTGTGTGTTTTCCTGTGTGTGTGTGTGTGTGTGTGTTTTCCTGAGGAGAGAGCCAAAATAGTTATGCACCTCCCAGCCTGGTGTGATACATGGCTACATAGTCACTGAGCTCTTTGTCAGCTACGCAGGTGGCACAGCGGACAGGAGTCAGCCGCTCCCTGGGACCCTTGGAAACCCAGTTCAAAGGTGCCTCACCTCATCTGCCTACAATTGCAAAGTTAGAGAGAAGGTCCTAGAAGTTATGGGGACCCTGCATCGAGGCTCAGAGCAGACTAACCTTGGAGATGACGAACCTGGACTCTTCTGCTCTGCGCATAGCGAGACAAGCCCGAGTAAGTACTTCACCAGACTGAACTATATACCTCCCTGGGCTGTAAAATGTGAGAAACAGAAACACACCTGCCTTACAAATATTGCTTGAGGCCACATGGGAGAAAATGCATGGGAAGGCCTGTGTGAAACACTCCACTAGTCAAGATACTGCTTTGCATGGTGATTATCATGGGTGGCAGCATCAAGAGGGATTGTGTTCTCTCTTTTTTATCCCCCAAAGATTTTATTTATTTATTCATGAGAGACACATAGAGAGAGGCAGAGACACAGGCAGAGGGAGAAGCAGGCTCCTCGAGGGGAGCCCAATGTGGGACTCGATCCCAGGACCCCAGGATAACGCCCTGAGCCGAAGGCAGACGCTCAACCGCTGAGCCCCCCTGATGCCGCATGTTCTCTTTCTGATGTTTATTCTAAGCATCTGAAGCGTCTGCATTTCTTACAAGTAAAACGTATAAGTATGTAGGTTTTGAATAAAAGGCTAAAAGGATAGACGGTTTATCAGTTTCTGGGTAGACTCTAAGAAGTAAACCTAAGATATAATGAATCAAAATGTTCCTCTCTGGGCTCCTAAGAAGGGATAACATGCCAAAATATATGTATATGTAACCACAACATAGACATTGCAAAACTGTCCCACACAGACACACTCAGATCGTCACCAACAGCTTGCAGGCCCCGCTCCGTGGCTCTAGGCCTGAGGGCTGTTATGGAAAGGCTGAAGCCCACATGCTTGGTGGCCCAGGGGTCCCTTTGTTCTATTTGAGTCTGATTACTTTGCTTGCTCCTTTATGTCCAGAATGATTTCTTGAATTGTAAGTATTATTTTTTAAAGGTTTTATTTTTAAGTCGTCTCCAGACCCAGTGTGGGGCTCTAACTCGCGACCCCGACCGAGATCAAGAGTTGCTGACTGAACCAGCTGGGTGCCCCCTGCAATTTAACTTCAAATATTTGTTCTTTTCATGGTTTTTAGTCTTCTCTGGGAATTCCAATTAGCAGAAGTTGGAGTTTTGCCTTTATTGCATTTTTTATAAAGATTTTATCCATTTATTTTAGAGAGAGCATGAGCAGGGGAGGGACAGAGGAAGAGGGAGAAGCAAGCTCCCCATTGAGCAGGAAGGATGTGGGGCTCGGTCCCAGGACCCTGAGATCACGACCTGAGCTAAAACAAAGAGTTGGACACTCAACTGACTGAACCACCCAGGCGCCTTCTTTTTTTTTGTTTTTAATTGTTCACAATCTTCATCATCTTTTGGGCAACACCTTTCTGGAGAGTGTTCTTTATCTGCCATTTGTTTCTGCTTTTGTTTTTACAGTTTCCAATTTGCCCTTGAACATATTTTTCTTATTGTGGTAAAATATGTCACATAAAACAGACCATTTTCATCATTTCTTAGATGTACAGCTCAGCAGTATTGAGTACATTCACAGTGTTCGGCCGCCATCTCCAGCACTTTCTCATCTTCCCAAAGGGAAGCTCTGTGCCCATTAGGCACCGACGTCCCTTTTGCCCCTCGGGTCCCAGCAACCACTCTTCTACCTCCCATCTTTATGAATTTGACTTCTCTCGCAACCACATACCAACGGAATTGTACAATATTTGTCTTTTGTGTCTGGCTTCTTTCACTGAGCCTGATGTCTTCAAGGTTCATCCATGTTGCAGCACATGTCAGAACTTCACGGTCTTTCTGAAGGCTGGAAAATATTTCATTGTATACATTCTGCATGTCTATTCCATATCCCATATGTTTTGTTTATCCATTCATCCATCGGTGGACATTTGGGTTGTTTCTACCCTTTTGGCTATTGTGACTGGTGCTACTATGAACATGCCAGTACAAATGTCTGCTGGAGTCCCTGCTTTCAGTTCTTTTGCATATATACCTAAAAGTGGAATTGCTGGTAATCCCATATGGTAATTCTGTTTTTAATCTTTAGGGTATCTGACAAGCTGTTGGCTGCACCATTTTACATTCCCACTAGCAGTGCACGAGTGTTTTGATTTCTCGACAATCTTGCTAACACTTGTTTTCTGTTTTTCTGGTTTTGTTTTTAATAATCTGTATCTTAACAGGCATGAGATGGTATCTCATTGTGATTTTGATTTGCATTTCCCTGATGATAAGTGACTTGAGCATCTTTTCATGGGCTTCTTGACTATTTGCATGTCTCCTCTGGAGTGATAGCTACTCAAGTCCTTTGCCCATGGGAGGCTGATTGTTTTTTGTCGTTGAGTTAATAATTTTTTTGTGTGTAGACCTTGTTTTGGTTGCCTGTTTTCATGGAACAGCTGTTTATGGGAGACTCAGATAAGGGAGAGGATAGGACTGTTCCATGCCAGGGAAACAGTTCTTTCTGATGTGGGCATTCTACATAAGTTCCTGTTTCTGTCTCCCGCAGACAGTGGAATCAGGTAGTTTTCAAACTTCACGATGCAGACTCTCTTCTCCTCTCCATTTTGAGGACAAACTGCTTCCTACAGATACGGCTGGTCTCACTGTGTTACTTCATTTAGTCCATTGATTCTTGGATCCATTCGAATTTGGTGCCAACTTGTACACTTTATTCTCATTATTTTATTTTATTTTTTAAAATTTTATTTATTCATGAGAGACACAGAGAGAGGCAGAGACACAGGCAGAGGGAGCAGCAGGCTCCACACAGGGAGCCCGATGTGGGATTTGATCCCAGGACCCTGGGATCACACCCTGAGACGAAGGCGGTGCTAAACCACCAAGCCACGTGAGCTGCCCATATTCTCACTATTTTAAAGAGGGATTTTATTTCTGCACTTTGGGAATGCCCTTCACCTTGAAAAGGGACTCCTTTCTTTCTTTCTTTCTTTCTTTCTTTCTTTCTTTCTTTCTTTCCTTTCTTTCTTTCTTCTTTCTTTCTTCTTTCCTCTTTCTTTCTTCTTTCTCTTTCTTTCTTTCTTTCTTTCTTTCTTTCTTTCTTTCTTTCTTTCTTTCTTTCTCTTTCTTCTTCTTTTACAATTATTGGCATCACTTCTCCTTTTCCTGCCAAAGTCCTACTTATTTTTCTGGCTTTGGCATCCTTTAGAAAAATAGGAAAAATATTACCTATTTTTCATAGTTTCTTTTTTTAAAGATTTTTAAAAATTTATTTGAGAGAGAGAGAGAGAGCATGAGCAGGGGGACAGGCAGAGGGAGAAGTAGACTCCCCGCTGAGTAGGGAGTATTTTCCATAGTTTCTAATAGATGATGTCTGTATCCTTTCCTTGTTGCTTTTGAATAATTGCCAAGAGAAGCTGACAACTTGATCCATTCATCTAGCATCCATTTATCCAGAAGTCCAGCACCACCGCAGGATAATGGAGACAGAAAAGAAATTTCTGGGTCCCTCCCTCTACTTCCACCTCTTGGGCAACTTCCCCTGAGTTTTAGAGGCTCCCAAGGTTCCATCCTTGTCTCTCTCCCTGCTTCTTGGCTCACCATCTTCCATGGATGCCATATGTTTACAAATTCCTAGGTCTGACTCCCTAGGTGCCGTCTCTGGCTATTGCCCCTCTGAATGACTGTGGGGTCTATTTTTTTCTTTATGAGGTAAAGCTGCATCACTTCTGGCTCAGGACCCTTTATCATCTGTAGAGAGAGAAGTGCCAAGGAGCCATCAGAGCATCCTGACTACAGCATCCCCTGGAATCTGCCCAGGCAACATTCCCCTTCCCTCAGTAGATTCTTCTGCTCACAGCACAGTCTCAACTTACAATGAGACATGCTTGAGATTGGCGAGTGACTTGGGGCCCTCAATATGAGTGATCCCAGTTCCTAAAGAGAAGGTGAGGGTCTAAGGCCTCATTTCCACTCTCTTTCCCACAAGATCCAGCTCATACCCCTCTCATGATTTGAGACATCCCATCCAGGGCCCCTTAGCTACAGGGACCATATTTTATGAACCTCAAATCAGAGTATAGATTCAGATTGAGATGCAATGTCTGCATGGGCCCTACTGATCCCTGCAACTCTCAACTGGTAGGCTTTTGTGGTGAGTTTGGAGGTCACCTTGTGTGTTCAGGAACCCCGACATGCCTGCACTGGGCCTCAGTCCAGCCACACCCATCAATCAGTGATTCTTGAAAGAGATTTTAGCACGAGACCATGGCAATGGGAAAGCAGAACAGCACCTGTCATTCTCTGGCTTGGGCTTGAATCTCCAGAGCAGAATTCTCTGGCAATGTAGATTTCATTATGTGGTTTAACCCAAGAGAGCCTCTCTCCCTGTAAACTCAAACCCAGATCTCAGGAGCACCCTGGCCTCTGGCTGGTGAATTGGAAGTGCCCAACCAATGAGAGAAGAAGGGGGCAACACGGATAGGCCAGTACCTCACTCTTGGGGGGTAGAGACAGGAAGCTGAGAGAGAGAGGGCTCGTGCATTTGTGTGGGATCCTTGAATGGAGGTGGCCACAGCCGTGGCCCCTCAGTGTTGGGGAATCTAAGTCAATCAGAGGAGGCCCTCTTTGGGAGAAGAGTTGCTACTTCCTCCCAGGTAGTATGACATTCTGAGCTCTCCCGCAAGAAAGTACATTTCTAACTACAGAAATGGGAGGGAATCCCTGGGTGACTCAATGGTTTAGCACCTGCCTTCAGCCCAGGGCGTGATCCTGGAGTCCTGGGATCAAGTCCAATGTCAGGATCCCTGCATTGAGCCTGCTTCTCCCTCTGCCTGTGACTCTGCCTCTAAGTCTTTCATGAATAAATGAATAAAATCTTTTTTTAAAAAAAGAAATGATATGGAATATGGAATATGATGATTAATGAGACTTACCTCTAATCCTAAAGGTATAAATCACAAAGTCTCAGAGATGCTTACTAAAACTGGAAAGATATGGGCCCATCTCAAGGAGACCCAACACTACCGGGCCTTGGTCCTGTTCACTCCCTCTCACTTTCTCCCACAAAACGAGGTAACTCATCTCCCCAAGAGCTATTTTAGGCCAGAACTGGGAAGATAGTCAGCAGCAGTTCTGTTTTATTTTAAAT